AAACGCTTTTTGAGCACAGTCTTTTTTTTCAGTCTTTCAAAACCTTCTTTTCCCATCCCAGTAAACACTGTGCTCGGCAGTCTTTATCCAGAATCTCAGAATGGTGCTCCCTGCTATGTTTGGGGGAGCTCAGGATTGGGCTCCATTGGCCGCAAACCTGGAAAAGAGCCTGTTGCTTTTCTGATAAGCATCTGAGGAACTCTGAGATATGAGTAAATCTTCCAACCGAAAATGCATGAAGCAAAGCTAAGGACCTGAAGTTCCAGTGGGTTCCACCTCAGTAAGTGAAGGGCCCCAGGGTGCCCCATGTGGACAGGGAGGTTTAAACTACAGCTCCAGCTGAGCACCAGGAGGGGAGCCTGGGGAAGATGGCACTTGGATTCAGCTCGAAAAATGCCTAGGAAATTTCTGGGCAGAGGGAAAAGGTGGAGCGGCCACTCTGGAAGAAGCAGCAGCTCTAGATACAGGCTGACAGGTGGCTTTAGTAAGCAGGGCTTACGCACCCTCGTCGGCTGGTGTTCACATGCGTGGGACGGGCAGGGTGGCCTGAGGGCAGAGCGGGCCTGGATGAGTGTGAACACACAGCGCCTGCTGACCCTGCTGGCCCAGCCTGCGTTTGGGGAACGTCGTCCTGACAGGAGCGTGGCCGATGGCTTGGGCGGGCCAGAGAGGAGGAGCTGGTCGCTGTCACGGAGGTGGGTGGTGGTCAACACGGGGCGGCCAGCTGCGGCCAGGGCGGAAGGGATGGGTCTTCCCGAGGAGGATCCGTAGGCCTGACTGCCTGACTTGGATGGACGGGAAGATTGTGTCGCTCTTATAAAGTGGGAATGAAAGGACTGAGAGCCTTAGGAGAAAGAAAGATCTTGCACCTCGGAAGCCTCAGGACCCTCGAAGAGTCCGAGTGAAGATCTCAAAGAAGCAGTTGGCAGAGCTTCTGAACACCAGGTTCAGCGACCACACAAGTGCCGTGGTTAGGAGGGCGCCAGACGGGGTAGTGCTCCATGACACGGATGCGGCAGAACTCGGAATCCTCCAGTGGATGCTGGCCAAGCGCCCACACCACTCCCAACGGAGTCTGGAGATGCCGCTGTGTTTTGAGTGTGATGCAGGCCTCAGTTGCATCACTGTGTTCGTGACTTTTCTCATTGCTGAGACAAAATGCTTGACACTCAAAGGGGGAGAGGTTTATTCGGCTTACACTTCAAAGAGTTTTCGGTCCCTGAACAGCTGGCTCCCAGGCCGGTGGCAGAGGGGCCACAGTTCATGGCGGCGGAAGCAGCAAAAGCCGCAAGAGAGGGGTTAACGGTGTCTTCCTGCGCCTTCCATCCCATCCGGACAACCGGGATTGGGACGTGCCAAGCCAGTCACTCACGCGGTTTAGTGAGCACACGCCCTGAGTCCCAGCACCGCACACTCCAGATTCAGCACCTCCAGAATAGCCCCTCATTCACGTGAGGCTTCGGGGGGGCCTCTAAACACAACCATAGCAGCCCCATCTCGGGGTTCTCTGGGCGGGTCTCGAAGGTCCCCTCCGGAGGACCAGGAGCAGCTACCTTTGCTGGCAGGTGGCGCGCGCCCTGCTGGTGACTCAGACATCTGGCCCCTGAGCCAGGAGCGCTGGCTGTTGCTAGGAGAGCGTGGCATGTAGGTCTGTGCTGCGTGGGTGTCGGCCTCCTCTCTGCATCGCTCCTGTGCTGACCACGGGGTTCCGATCAGCACGCCGAGGCCTCTGGATACACAGCCCTGCCCTTTCCCTGGCGCTGTGTCAGTGCATCTGGCCTGACGGGCGCACAGTCCCAGGATCTGGCCATCACTGGCTGGACAAGGCTGCTTTTTGGCTCAGACAGAATTGTTTTTTGCATTTTTCTTATCTGAGCACACAAAATAATTTTATCCCGAAGACTCCCACACCGTGTATAATGAAATTACCTGTAAAAACAGGAAGGAAAGTCCGTATTGCTCTGATGGCATGGTTAAAGCGCTTTGATCTGAGGTTCAGTGAGTGACGTGAGTCCTTGGAGGACTCGGCCGAACCAGCCACCAGGACAGAATGCAAGAGAAGTGGAAACTGGGGTGAGGCGAGATCCAGGGGCGCTGCTGGGCTGAGGCGAGGATGGGAGCAGCGGGCAGCGGCGCTCGCTTTCCGGGGTCCCATTCCGGGTTTCACCTTGGCTGCAGGGCAGCCCTCTGAGGGCCTCAGCTTCTCCCAGATGGATGTGCCTGGACCCCATCCACAGACTCGGTCGACCCCACCTATGCTTCCAGAGGTCCTTCTGCCACTTTTCATTCAATGCAGGGAGCGTGAATGGCCTTTCGGCAGAGCTAAGGGTGACCACAGATGGGCGTCAGGAGGCAGGCGACAGAGCATGGGCCCTGGGGCCCCGTCAGCCCTCTGAGCGCGGCCGTGCAGCTCCCGGCTCCCAGGGGCCCGCCTCGGCCTGTGCCGAAGAACAGGTTAGCCTTGCTTCCGGAGCCTCCCCGGGACCCCAGGGGCCCTGCTCAGCCCGGGGCAGGAGAGGTGTGTGGCCCGGGAGGCCTGGCCGCCCCCATGACCAGGGTGTCCCTGAGGAGCAGGGAGGGCGGGATGACAAGGGCTCTGCCAGTCCTCCCTGGGCTCTGTCCCTTCCTGTCCAGGCCTCTGCCACCAAGTGAGCTGTGTGACAGCAACCTCATGACAGGGCCTCCTCTCTGCCATCGCCGAGTACAGTGGGGATGCAGGGCAGAGGGGAGCCGCCCGGGCCCTCCGCCTGCCTCACCGCACCCGGTTCTGATCCTGCCGGGACCCTGGGGACCCAGCTGCGGAAGGGGACCCGCCACCCCGAGGACCAGGCCCAGGGCCCAGACTGAGGGCCGAGGAGGCGTAGCCTTCACCCGCTCCTCCTGCTGCCCCAGTGCTGCCAGGGCCCCGAAGCCCCAGCTGCTGCCTGTGCCCAGATCTCCTGCTCCCCTCAGGGAGGCTCAGCCTGTGCCAGCCACCTCTTCGGCTGCTCCTGTCCCTTGCAGCGCGCGCTGCGGTGTCCTCCAGAGGAGCACAGGTGAGGAGGTCGGTGAGGGCACTGCCCCAGGGCCCGGTGCTGCCGATCCCCCTCACCAGCGGAGACAGATGGGCTGAGCGGGCGTCCAGAGCCTTCGACAGGTCCACAGACCCTGGCTCTCCCTCCCAGCCCAGCACGCCTGGCTTCCGGGGACACCGTCAGCCCTTGGCTAGAGATGACGGGCAGCCCCACGGGCTCGGTGCCCCGGCCTCACCCCGCGGCCTCGGAAAACCAATGCTTCGAATAGGAGAGGCAGCATCAGTGACAAGTGGACGGACCACGCATGAAGCCAGGCTCCGGAGGCTGAGGCGGGGAGGTCACAAGTTCACACCCAGGGTGGGTAACGGAAATTTAGCAAGTTCTTGTCCTAAAATTAAAAAGCGGGGAGAGGCTTGCTAGGGTACTGGGGATATCGTTCAGGGGAAAGGTCCTGCGTTCAGTCCCTGGTACCACCAAAATGAAGAAGCTGATGCAGTCAGTTTATGTAGGTCAAATGGTGACACTGTCCACTCGGGCAGGCGCGGACCCTGAGCCGCCTGGGAGGCCGGAGCTGCACCTGCGCTTGGGCGGACAGCACCGAAGTCAGGTGCAGAGCAGGCCGAAGGGCTCCTTCGGGAAGCTGGCCTGTGTCTGGCTCCTCCCGATCCTGACAGTTGGCCACGTTGAACCTGCACTGGCCCTGCGCTGCTGTAAAGCCCATCGCCCTCCCTCCGCCACGCGGAACCCAGCCTGCAGGTCACTTGGAAACATGGCAGCCCGGACAGAATCGCCTCATCAGAGAAACCACTGCTCTTTCACGTGTAAACAGTTTTTGCTACAAGCCAGGATGTATTTATTGTGATTTCCAGAGTCACTCTTGGAAGTATCTGGTTATCATAACCACAGAGAGACAGCTTATTAGCTTTAACTGCCGGGTAAAAGCATGTACATTTTCAAGATTTCTGCTTTCACCCTTTTAACCCACAGAACAACTATAAATAGATGGTAAGGTCTGGGATTTCCACAGCTAAGTGCTGCTATAAATAGTTTTAAACATTTTCCCACTTCGTGCTTTCTAGAGGAACATTCCCCACTTCCTTTCTTGGATAACCCCTGGGAATGCAGGGAGACCACATTCAGAAGGTTATTGAGGAGTTCAGCGAAACTTTTAATGAACCTATTAGCAACTAAACGTTCCTGCGATACTGGAAAAACTGAGGGCACAACGGTTTAACAAATTCATTTAGATGTTTAAATGTAAGTAGATATTTCTGGGAAAGGCATGTAAAAAGTCAGCCGTTAATCTTTCCACCCATTTTCTCGTGTTACTGGGAATGGTCTCTTGAAACACAAAATCAAGCCCACAGCCATCCTCTGAAAGTTCTTGTTTCGCATAAACACACTCCGAGGCCTCAGCTGAGCTGAACAGGCCACTTCGGTGGTTACAAAATGAAGACTAGCTTTCCTGGGCCGGGGTTTAGCTCAGTGGTTCCGCCGCCTGCCCCGTAAGCACAAGGACCCGAGTTCAATCCCCGGTACCCCCCCCCAAAAAAAAGACTAGCTTTCCTTCTCCTGTCCTTCGACATGAACACCTAGAAGCGCGGGTCGTGGGCTCTGCTAGGCCAGGCCGCCGCCGCCTGAGACCCGCTGCCCCGCCGCGCCCAGGGCCGCAGAGGCCAGCAACGCCTGCCCGCCGGCGCCCTCTGCTGGCCGCGGCTTCCGCGGAGACGAACCGCGCAGGGCCGGGAAGGCCCCCGATGGGGAGGCCGCGAAAACAGCCGAGGGCGGTGAAACTCCGCTTCCGGTTTCGTATTTTGAGTTGGGGGGGGGTCAAGTTCTGTGAAACATCCTGAACACTGAGATCTGACATCTCCTGAGCGCTTTCGGGTTTGCCGGGGTGCTGAGCACGGAGCGCGGCTGCGCCCACTGCCCGGCACCTTCACGCGGGCGGCCTGGGGCGTCGGGGTCCCCGCCGAGGTCCGCCCCGGCCTTTCGGGTCGCTTCTTTCACGGAGGGCGACGCGCTGCACCCTCCCGGTCCGCCCACCGCCCGCCTGCCCGGGGCGTCTCTTCCGCTGCGGGCGACCCCCAGCTCCGGATGCGGCGTCGCCCCCGGGGAGGGGCCGCCCACCTCCGGGCTGCGCGGCGCCGCGGCTCACGCACGTCTGCCCTCCCGTTTCCGTTTCCGTTCTGGGGTGCGCACTGAGATGTTCGGTCCCTTTCGTGGGTCTCTCCTTGTCGAGTGTAAGAGTCCCTGCGTGGTTTGGGCCCCACTCTGCTGCGTGTTTCGTGCAGACGGTTTCCCCTTCCCCGTGGCCACGGCCACCCGGAAACAGCCCTCCGGGTTTATCCCTCCTTCCTGCAGCCCCCTCCAGGTCCCGGTGAGAGGCTGAGACCAGACAGCGAAGAGCGAGCGTGGCACAAGCCCTGAAGACAGCACCCGAGAGAAGCAAGCCCCCGCCCCCGGAAGTGACAGAGTGCTCTGCTGGCAGCCCCACCTCCCAAGTCACTCGGGGAACAATCGCCTAACTTCCCCACCACGAAGCTCCGCTTACAGTGCCCACCGAGAAGTTCAAACGTGCAGTGGATTTAAACCTCACCTCTGGCTGCAGCCAAACACCTGCCTCCACTCTGTCCCCCCAGGCCCCTTGCCCCTATAGGAGTCACCTAGCCAGCCCCTGGCCGCTGCTCTGCCATTGTTCGAGACAGCCCGGCACCTGTCCCCTAATAAAGGCTTCGTCTTGGGTGTTGTGTTTTCGGCTCATTCTCGTCCTCTCCCAAAGCACCAATACGCAGGGCCCCTTCCGGGGAGTCCCGGAGCAGCTGTGTGCAGCCACAGCAGAAGGGGGCTGCCGTGCTGGGGCGGGGAGCAAGCAGCAAAGGCCAACAGGGTGCATTTGCACCTGGGTGTTCCTCAGGTATGTGCTCAGTGCCTTCTGGGGGCCGGGCACAGTTCTGGGTGTTGGGGACACGGAGTGACACAGGTCAGCCCGTGCCCCTGTGGGGTTAGACCCCAGTGTGGGGGAGACACAGGAGGGAGGTGGAGCGGAAGCTGTCTCCAGAGCTGACGCCAGCCGGCCTCCCAGCAGTGTGCTCTGCTGCTGTCCCCAAAATCGAACTACTTCCTCCCTACGGGAACCTCATTAGCTCTGAGATCTGCCGGGACTGACAGAAGGACGTGCACACAGGCCTTTTCTGGGTCACCCCGAAGACTCTGCACAGGGTCCGTGTTCACCCCCTTGAAGCCTGGGCTGTGCTGGAGAGGGGCGGGTGTGTGGGAAGCCACGAGAGTAGAGTCCCTGCCCTGCTGCCCATCCACACCCGGCCCCTCAGCATTGTGGGAAATCACCGCTGCTGCTTCAGGCACCCAAGCCTTGGGCTGGCTCCTTCGGGGCCGACTGAATAGCAGGCAGAACCATGGGCTCCTTTCTGTTCTGAAACACAGTATGCTGGAGGCTGCTGGTGCAGCTCACGGGAGCCAACTGCTTCGTCTTCAGGAATTCTCCCAGTCAGAATCTAGTGACACGCGGTCATGGCTGTGTCTGGATATGCCCCTAAACCCTCATGCAGTCATGGGTGGGGCTTTTCGAGGTGGCTGGGTCTGGAGTGTGTGATGCAGGTACAATGCTGGGATGAAGGGTGGGTGATTACTAACTCAGTCCAATGATTGCTTTGGCACCGCCTAATCCGAACAGCCTGGATACAACACAAGGGACAGAGAGAGGCTTGTCTTGCCCCTTGCTGCTTTGCTGCCTTCTGCCTGCCATGAGCTGTTTCTCCTCTGCAGTGCCCTCTGCCATCCAACCTGCCGACTATGGACTGAAACCTCCACAAACTGTGAGCTGAATAAACCTTTCCCCCTTTAATCTTGGGTGTGGTTTGCCTCAGCAAGGAGAAAAGTAGCTAAGACACAAATATTTAGACAGAGTGCACGAAGGTGTTTTGCAGTAGTCTCTCTAGTGTCCTTGAGCATGCAGTTATTGCCCATGCTGTGCCTGGGAGGCAGAAGCCACCTCTCTGGGGTCTGTGTCTCTTCCCAGCTCCATGGCCATCAGTGAGGGTACACATGGTGTACGTCGCTAAGGGCTCTGACCAGGGCTGACTTCGTGGTTGATATTAGGAGTTCAGAAAGTGCTGGAGCAAATGCTATCATGGGCTAGATTTACAGGTGTGGCATAGCCATTCTGTTATGCATGGCTCAAAAACTTGAGAAATATTCTTCCAGAAAACTCTCACCCAAGTCAGTGAGATTCTCCTGCACATCTCTGATGTTTGACTGAATGTCGGCCTGGTTCATGTTGGAACCAGATTGATTTGACAGTTCCAACCCTAGGCTGGCTACCCATGCAGGACTACTTCAAAGATGAATAAAAACATTTTGACAACTAATTGGATGTCTGCGTTTTACAATAAGTACGATAAAAAGCGGTGTGTTTTTATTGGCAAATTGTATGCTGTGTATCTTTTAAATCAGTAATTTTTAAAATTGCTGAAATTTTAATTTTTTTCAGTGCTCGGGATTAACCCCAGGGCTCATGGGTGCTGGGCAAGTGCTCTGCATATCAGGAAGACGGACGGGAACACCCAGAACCTTATGTGTACACATGTACACACGGCTTCCTCCCACCCACGCCTGCTCACTGCTCCCTGCACACGCCTGCCTCCTCCAGACACAGAGGTGAGCGGGACAGGGCTCCACCGACTCATTTCTGTTCAGCTTCTGCCACACAAGATTTTATTTGCCATATTTAACGCACTTGGCATCATTTTCAGCTTGTTTATTTGTTTTGCCTTCCTCTTCAGGAACGGTCAGAGGGCGGGATTCTGGGCCCAAAAGCTCTCTGGGGACACAGCGCCCACCCTGAGTAGCCATGGCCTGCTCACTCCCCATCCTAGCCCCACTGGGCCCTGACCTGCCCCTGCCTGCTGAGAGCTCGGGGCCCTCTTTCCTTGGAAGAGCACGGGCCCTGGGGTCCGCCTGGCATCCCCAAAGCTCAGAGCCGCGACTCTGTCAGTTAAGATAGCTGGATCCTGTGACTCAGTTTTAACAATCAGAAGGTGTCACCTAGGCTGGGGATTTAGCTCAGTGGCACCGCACTTGCCTGGCAAGCACAAGGTCCTAAGTTCGATTTCAGGTACCAAAAAAAGGTGTCACCCACTCATTGTATCAGTAGACATTATTTATTATATTTGGCAGCTGAACTGAGAAAAGGGTGTTTCTCTTTTTTTTTTTGTACCGGGAATCAAACTCGGGACCTTGCAATTTCAAGGCAGGCGGTGGCACCACTGAGCTAAATGCCCACCACTCGGTAGGCATTAAAGCAGGTTTAAAAGAGTAAAAATAAGTCAGTGAAAGTATAACCTTTTGGTGTGGAGCGTGACATTTGCCCTGCACACAAATCCTCCAACAGGGCAGGCGTGGAGGGCTGGCTCTTGTCTCAGACCTACATCGGTGAGGTGGCAGGAAGGCCTGGAGCAGTGCCCCGGGCCTCTCTGACCCCGTGGCCTCTTCAGGTGCTGTGTTCCTGGTCACTCTGGTAGCCTGCTCTGTGGTTATCTCCTTGTCCTGGGCACAACACCTGACACCCACAAGGCAAAGGAGGACAGGCTTATTGTGGCTCGGCCTAGGGTTGGAACCGTCAGCCCATAGGCAGCTGACTCCAAAGCAGGTGGCCTGGCAGAGGGGATCACTGAGGAGAAACAGCTTGTGCATGGCCGTGGGAGGCAGAGCACGATCCAGAGCGTTTTGTAGAATGTCGTTTTACTGGAATTGGTCTGGTGTTTCCTCGTGGTTGGACTGAGAGGAGCTTGGGGAGGGAGGAGACACTGAGGTCCAGCACCTTGCTCGTCGTACATTGCAGGGAGCCTGTCCGCAGGGCTGAGCGGCAGTGCCGCCCCCCTCCCGCGGAGGGGCGTCATCACGTCTCCCCACTGTGCCCCTCGCTCTTGCCCTCTGTGGAAGGAAACCCTGCGCTGCCTCCTGGGTAGGGTGGCCTTTCAGACAAGGATCTGGTTGATCCCCCATTGCACCTGGTCCCAGGTGTCACCCCTAAGTCCTCTTCCCAGGGCAGCCGGGAAAGTGCCACTGTTCTCGAGACACCGGAGCCACGGTCCTCAGGCGGCATCCCATTCTGCAGTGGCCCTGAAAGCCCCGCCACTGGCCCCATGGCCTTTGTTCGTGGTGGACAGGATCAGGGTTCACAAGCAAATCGCCCCAAGGCACATCTGCAGCCGGACAGAGCAGGAAGTGACGGACGCCCCAGTGCCAGTGACATCTCCTCCCGCGTCCTGACAGCACCTGGCGCTTCTCTCTTCCCTACATGGACCTACAGGGAAACCTTCTCACAAACACAGACCTAGGAGTTTGGAGAAGCCCACAGGGTTCTGTAACCATGGCAATGGTCAGGCCGCCCTCAGCCTGCGCTGTCCCCGTCTGCCGCACCAGGAAGCCACGGAACGACTCACCCAACGGCGCCTATTCTGGGTGGGCGTCAGTTTATTTCCCTTCTGCCAACATCTGGAAGTGGGGTTTCTGGGCGGATGGCAGGTGTAAGCTCCACTGGGAGGCAGCGCAGCCTTTGATCACCACAGCGGCCATGCTGTTTCCTCCCGAGAGCTGCATAGCTGTGTCCTCCCGGCCTCCCGCTGGTGAGAGCCTCTGCTGCCCGGTGGGGGCACGGCCGTGCCTTTAGTCTGCTTTTCACTAGTGGTGCGTGACGCTGGCTCCATCCGCATACCCAGCTCCCTTGCTAAGGAAGAGGGTGTGTTTCCTTCTTGTTGTGTTCTGAGAAGCCTGTCCACATTCTGCTTACAAGTCCTTTGCCAGACTTTGTCATTTGCCTGCAAGACGCCCCACTGTCTCAGGCCTCTGGTGTTCAGGTGAGAACTCTTCAGTTCTTTCTTCCCCTAGACGTGGCTGGTGGTTTTTAGGTGACTGCAGCCTGCACAGCTCTTCTCTTCTTTTCCCTTTTGCAGTGAGATGATGCTGTCTCTAGGATAATTTCCTTCAAGTTCATCCAAATTGGGGCTCACTGAGCTTTATGCTTTTCCCCAAATGGATTAAGTTTTAGGCATGCTGTTATCTTTCAAATGGTTCCCCCTAGGGAATCTGTTTGTCTTCCCCTCCGGGTCTGCAGTGGGGTAAACAGGGGACTTTTGAGACTGTCACACAGGTCCCCGAGGCTCTGCTCCTTTCGCAGCACCTGTGCTCCTTCTGGACATTTCTGGACCTCATTCTCTAGCATCTGTAGCATCTCACTCTGCCGTGGACACAGCCAGGGGCTGCTCGGGTTTTCATGGGACCTGGTATTATGGACAGCTAAGCTAGATAGAAATGTAGTGGGCAGCCAGCCAGCGCTGAGCCCTCAGGAAGTCAGGACAAAAGGTGAAAACACGACTACCCCAGCAGGAGACACATCAGCTGGGGCCAGGCCTCAAGATGACAGGAGGACCGGGCCTACATCCTGCCCTGAGGGGTGGGGTAAGTGTCAGCGCCTGGCCTGGTAAGGTCTAGGCCCATCAGTCGCCTCAGAGTGTGACTGAGACCCCATCCATGGCCTGCCTGAGAGCTCTGCTCTTTCCATGCACACTTGCTGAGAGGAGACCTGCTTCCCTGCTGGATCACCATTACCTGAGCCACTACATGTGTACCCTTATCGGTTGGTCATAGCTGCACCCACATTGTACACTCACGGCTTTGGCTCTATAAAAACTTCCCTGTAAAGTGGGGTCCCTGGCTCCGCACT